TATGTTGCCCCACGTCGGTAGGGGCTGACAAGTCGGTGCTGTGACCCTGGGTATGAAGGACACACCGCCCGGCCCGGCGCCAGCTTCACCCCTTTCCTTCTGTTGGAGCCCAGGGTTGCAGCCACGGTGTCCGTCTGTCTGTCCATCCATCCAGGCCTTCCTCTTTTCCGCCCTCCCCCCTCCACTTTACTGGTACGACATCCTTCCCCAAAGACTCGTCTCTCCTGACAATGCGTCCAAAGTGCAGAGACGCGGACTCTTGGCCTCCTTCCCCAAGGGGAGCACGGCCCGCACCTCTTCTCCTGGCCGCCCAGGGCTTTCAGCATTCTTGGAAATCACATTAAAACGTAATCCTAACAAAACACATCTGTTGAACCCTAGCTGGTGCGGTGGGTTATGTGTTGAGTTATTGCAAGGCCTGCGGTTCCAAACTCCGTGGGAGAAAGATGAGGCTGTCGGCTCCTGTCAAGATGTACAGTCCCCGAAACCCAGCGGGGCTCTCCTCTGTCCTGTCGGTCCGATGAGTCAGGAGGGACCCCATGGCCGTGAGTCTGGGAAAGAGTCCGCAGGCTGTCATTGCAACGGGTGATCCCGGTCAACGTTACCTTCGTCCTTCTGGGAAGAGGGCCTGGTGCCTCTCCGTGGGCATCACCGCAGGCCAGGTACTCGGTGGCCATGTGCAGTCGAGGCCCTGGACATGAGGGCATGGGGGCTTCCGAGTCCCAGGCTGAAGGAGTACCTAGAGCAGTGGTTCTCAACCTGGGGGTCGAGACTCCCCTGGGGATCTAACGACCCTTTCACAGGGGTCGTCTGAGACCGTGGGAAAACACATATTCCCGATGGTCTTAGGAACTGAGACACCGCTCCTCTATCCGTCTCCAGGCAGGTCCGCCCACATGCAGATACGCCCACCTACGAGTACCAGGTGTGAAGTCTGTTACCCATGCTACACCATGCTTCAAGACAAAAGTTCATTTATTTGTCATTAGAAATAAATATGTCACAATATATAATTACATGTTGTTTTGTGATTCATCACCACGCTTTCATGATGTTCAATTTGTAACAATGAAAATACATCCTGCATAGCAGATATTGACAAGAGGATTCATCACAGTAGCAAAATGACAGTGATGAAGTAGCAACGAACATAATTTTATGGTTGGGGGGGTCACCACCACATGAGGAACTGTCTGAAAGGGTCGCGGCACGAGGAAGGTGGAGAACCACTGACCTAGAGACTGCCCATTGGAGCCTTTGCGGTTTCACCTCTGGTGATAGGAGGTGGGGGGCGAGGGGGGGCGCAGCTCAGCTGTAGCCGCAAAGTGACCCCGGAGGCTGGACTTGTGTCTGGGGTGCTGTGGGCATTTCCTGCTTGGTGTGGGCGGTCCCGACACTGGGTGTGGTGGAGGTGCCGCTCCCAGGCGTCCCCACCTGGCAGATTTAGGAACGCTTGGGACCAGGGTGGGGAAGAACGATCCCAGAGAGGGCTACTGCGCTGCGTCCCAGGGTCTGCGAGGGGCGTCAAGAAGGTGTTGGCTAGAAATGGGGGCTCCCTCCACAGGCTGTTCTCTGAGGTGGGAGTGGGCACACACACACCCCTGCTCCCCCCCACCCCAGCTCTAGCCCTGCCCCCTTCCTCCCTCCCTGAGCTGCCTTTATTAATGCTGTTTTACTTCTCCAGGAGCGCTGGTGGCATCATGATGACGGGCTGGGCTCAGCCCACAAGGCCAGCAGCTCCGAGGGAGAAGGCTAGTCTTCCGACTCCCGTAAAGCGTGGCAGTCCGGGAACCCCTACAGGCAGCTCTACCCTGTCCTAGAGGGTCACTGTGAGTCAGCACTGACCCGATGGTAGGGAGTTGTTACTCCACCTCTCTGGGCTCCAACACCCACTGCAGTGGCTACACAGAACTCCGACAAAACTCATCATCGAAGTGTTTATTAAACTGTCATGCAGTGAGAAATGCTCAGGCTTGAGTTGTTTATCAAGCCTGGTTACAAAGTTCTGGCAAGCCTGTTAACAGATGACCAAAGGGGCATACCTCACCGCTCTCAGCCTCAACCGGACGGCCTACAGCTTAAGCTCCGTGGGTCAGCAAGCCCAGCTCCCCCAGTGAAGTGCCCAGAGGCCCCCCACTCCGCCAGCCAGCCTCCTGCACAGAGCGCTCCGCTTCGCTGGCTCCGTGGGCTGGGAAGCCGGTCCCTCTGGGCCCTGCTCGGGCTCCTGGTCCTGCTGCTGCTCCTCTGGCGTGACAGCTGTCTTCTGGATCCACGAGGTTCACTGCGCAGGGATCTCGGGTCCAGAGGACGCGCTCCCCTCCTGGCTCTTGCTGGTCACGAGATCCCTCCTCCGGCTCCTCAGGGGCTCGCTTTATACCCAGCAGGACGGCTCTCCAGGGAGTCCCAGTCACAGGCACTCACAGGAGAATCCCATCAGGATCTGCCCCACCTTCTGACCAGAGCCACGGGGAAGGTGGCTTGGTGGGAGTGGGAGACACTGTCTGGAAGAGCCACGGGAAAGACTTCACTGCTGCTTCGGCTCCTCCCCCCCTTCCTCCCCCACTTTCTTTAAAAGAAGAAGAAGAAACCCATTGTGGTAAAAGACATAGAACAAAGCATGTGTCATGCTCACCACGTTTACATGGAAAATTCCTGACGTGAGCCACTCTCCCCTTACTGCACAGCCTGCCCACATCCCTTCCCAAATGTTCCTCCCTCCACACAGGAGTGCCGTGTCCCTGAGGTCAGTCCCCCTGCCCCTGCCAGGGGGCCACACTCGGCTGTCCAGGTGTTGGGGGGCCCACCTGGCTGCGTGCAACCGAATGGAAGTCGCTTGGGACCTGACTCCTTTCTCTCGGCGTTGTTTCCAGGTAGTGGATGTCTCATTCCCACCTGGTGTTGTCCGCTGTGTGGGTGCATGGCTGCCCCCCGCCCAGTGCCCCCCTCACCGTGAACAGTGGACCTCATTGCTGGTGTGCACGCGCATTCGTGTGGGGGGGTGCACACGCATACGTGTGGAATCCTGAGCCCTGCACCGGTGTCTGGACTCCCTTCTAGGATCGCTTGCTTCTGCCTCTGGGGGCCTGGAGTGCAGGGGACACGGGGTCTCATCCCACCTTGGCGGCGACTCTGCTTCCCTGGTCTGAGCGTGACTCTGCGTCTTCTTGTGTCATCATCTACGCAGCGTGTTCTCCCACCCTCGCCCTGCCTGCCCTTCCTCCCTCTCCCCTGCCCCTCCGTCCTCCTCAACATCAGCTTCTTTGGGCGTGAAAGCCCCCAGAGCCCTTGGTTTCTCTCTCTCCTGAGAGCCCCCCCACTGCACAGTGTTCACCTTGCAGCGGTTCTCAACCTGTGGGTCGTGACCCCTTTGGGGGGTGGAACGACCCTTTCACAGGGGTCCCCCGATTCATCACAGTAGCAAAATGACAGTGATGAAGTAGCAACGGAAATAATTTTATGGTTGGGTGTCACCACCCCATGAGGAGCTGTGTAAAGGGTGGCGGCGTGAGGACGGTTGAGAAGCGCTGCTCTAGAGGATGTGCCCGGCTGTGCCCCGCAGCTCCTCCACATCCGTCCACGATGTGAAGGGTCGGCCCGTGTCCTCGCTGTGCTTTAGCGCTGGGCAGGGTCCCACTGTGTGTCCGTCACCCTCACGGCCACCCAGGCCACTCCAACTCACGGTGCCGGTGATGCAGGACAGGGCGGAGCTGCCCCTGTGGGGTCCCAGACTGTAGCTCTTTGTGGAATAGAAAGCCTCATCATTCTCCTGGAGTTTCGAACTGCTGACCTTGCGGTACCCCCACCCTACGTGTGCAGCAAAGTTTATGCTTGCATTTCTGCCCGGAGGGACCTGGCGGCTGTCTCCATCGCTGGCTGTTTCCGATCATCTGGGATGCCCCTGGGGGAGTGTCGGCAGGCAGTTCTGCCATAGCCTGTGAAGCTGAGTGTCTTGGGTGGCCAGAGTGGGCGATTGGCGGAGCCTGGCAGTGTGGGGGCGCTGGCTGACGAGGCGGGTGCTCTTGGCGGTCAGGGCAGGGGAGTCTAGGCCTGGCCCTGGAGGATAAGTCCGACATGTCTCTCGCAGGGCTGGTGGCTTGACCAGGGCAGCACTGTCAGCAGCCCAGTGCCCAGGTGAAAGCTGAGCCCCTCAATGGAACCAGCTCTTTCCTCCTGTGGCAGGCGGGGAGCAGGTCTGGGGTCTGGGGGTGCCCTGTGATGTATGTGCCCAGCTGGGGCATGTGTCCCCAGGGTGATGGCCCTCCTGGCTGCCCCTTATCTTTGTCTCAGGGTGTTTCTCTGCCCCCTGCTCTCTGCTCAGCCAGCAGCTGGCAGCCTCCTCCGGTTCCCCAGCTTCCTCTGCCCAGGGGCCTGCGCCTGCCGGATCCTGTCTCCTTTCATTCCATTGGGAGCTCCTTCCTTGGGCTGAGCCTCCCAAACAGCAGACCACCCTCCCCAGTCCCCTCTCTTGTGGCACTTGCAAGTCTCTCAGCCACCAGGAGCCCGGCCCGGCTCCCTCACACATACAGGGGCAGGTGGGGGCATAGCATACAGGGGAGGGCAGGGATTGGGGCTGGTGGTCTGCCCAAGTGCAGAGGATTTGCCAGACCCCCCTCCCCGCCCCAACACCGACCAGTCAGGCCGGACCCCACACCTGGCACAGGGTGCCCTCTGCTCATCTGTTTCCAGCAGGAGATTAGTCAGGTAGCAGGGGTGGGGTAAGAACAGCAAGGGGGTGGAATGGAAGCCACCAGCCCAGCATCCAGGGGGCCTGAGGGGGCCAGGGGAGTGGGCCCGTCGGGGGGGAGGGGGCTACAAACTAGGGTTGCTCTGGCAGAAGAGAAAGGTCCTTGGAGCGAGGGGGTTTGTGCAGGTGGAGCTGAGGGGCCAGGACGGAGGGGCCAGGTAGCTAGGTGGTTAGGAACCTCTGAGGAGGCTTGGCTGTCCCTCTGAACACTGGTGGGGACCCAGGCCTCTAGGCCAACATTTGTGAAGTGAGGGTACAATGGCCACCCACCAGGGCCCTGGGAGGGCAAGGCCGGGCCGGGCTCCCAGGACTTTCGGTTGTGGCTCCCTGTTGTCATCGCTAGAAGGCAGGGACACAGTACAGCTGTTGACCACTCGGCCACACGCAGACAGAAAAGGAGGTGGAAACGCTGCAGCAGCTGCGGGGAGATGGTGGAGGGGCTTGGGGAGCAGGGTTCCCAGGGGGGTGCCCGCAGACAGGACAGACGCACTAGCCGCTCAAACCTGGTTGTCCTCACGTTGACACCCACTGCGGACCCGTGTGTGTGTGTGTGTCTATACATGTGTGTGTGCATACATGTGTGTGCGCGTGCATATGTGTGCGTGTGTGCGCGTGTGCATGCACCTGCCTGAGTAGCCCTGTGCTCCAGACAGATCTCAGAGGTTGACCTTTCCTGAATCGATCGCCAGGCCTTTCTACTGAGGTCCCCTGGGTGGGCTTGGACCAATGCCTTTCCTTGCAACCAAGCCCGCTGCCTGTAGACGCCTCTGTAGCACCCAGTGCAACAGTGACTCCCACCCATCCACCCGGTGGTTCTTATCAGAGAGACAGACAGACCATCACAAGGTTGGATATATAGCCCCCACCACCACCACCAAGGGGGGCAAATAACAGAAAGGTGGGTG